ATCTTTCTAAGACCCTTGTGTTGGAAACTTAGTCTTCCTCTTCTAATCCCTTGGTGTTCAAGCTCCACAGTAAGGGGGGCAGAACTGAATCAGTGCATGGCAGTGAGACCTCCAGTGAAAGTCTGCTGGTGCAGGAAGTGCATCCTGGTGAATCACTGGAGACCACTTCTTCATTGCAGTCGGCTGCAAGCATTGACTAAGCAGGGTGAGGCAAGCACTGTCTCTTTTGGAAGAGCAGCAGAGTACTGATTTGAATGCCTGGCAATCAATACAAAGTCTCTCTGGCAAGAGGACAGGTATTAACCCCAACAGCTTGGCGCAGCACCAGCTCAAACCTTTGCTTCTTGCCACCTGAAATTCCGCTGCTGGAATTTAGGATCTTCTTTCCCGTTTCCCACCCTGCCTAACACACCTGTGGCATTCCTCTGGGCTGTTGGAGTCTGGTTGTGTTCTGCCCCACAAGGGTTGTGTTTCAGACCTTGGTTTCCACTAAAGAACAGGGAAGACTTGAAAAATGAATTCAGAAATACCGAGAGAAGACTATACCAATGCTTTTGTAAGGTCCAGCTACTGTGACCTTCAGTTTAATTATATAAGTGATGCAAAGACTATCAGTACTGATTCCTCTGACTTTTGCATCAGCCGTGATATTGCCACACTGAAGGGTGGCTCATCACACTCCTGCCAAGGGCTGTTTCAATGCCCTTGGGGTGAGATGACTATCAGGGAACAGGAGGGAGAGAAATTGGTGAGAAGCTCAGACGAGGCAAGGTTGTGCAAAGCAGTGTGGAGTTCACATGGTTCTTAACAAAGAGGCATTGATTGGAGGCTCGCTGTTGTGACAGAGCTCACTAGTGACTGGAGATCGTTTCCAGAGCTTTCTATATGGGGAGCAAGAACCAGATTTGCAAGTGTGGGAGCCTCGATGTAACAGCACCTTGCGGGCTTTTAGGAGAAAGGGTTTTCAGGTTCAAGAGCCACAAGCTGCCACTTCATCTGCTCCCTCGCCAGCGCCCCTCACACCCAAGGAGTCCAGACCTTCCTTCCCAGCCCACTGCCTGTGCCGCAGGGCACCTTGAGTTCTGCATGGTGCCCCCAAGGCCTTGCATGACCTAGTAAATATCTGGGTTTGGGATCGTGGGGAAAGGCACCAGCACAAACCACTTCAGAGGCCAAGGTGGAGGAGTAGGATCTCAGAGGTCTCCACTAATGAGGTCTTGGCACCAACATGTCTTTGGCACTCAGCTGGGCCTTTTTTATTGCTTTTGGTCCTTAACAAAAGCTAACACCAAAAACCTAAGGAGTAAAATGCAACTCGGCAAGCTTCAACCTATACAGTTAATGCTTCCTCATGTGCTGGCTGTGCCCCCTGGGAGGTATCAGAGTGGGTTGGTGGGCACTGGGAGATCTGGCATAGGATCTGCAAATGGCAGGATGTATCCAAGCCTTTTCTCTGCCATACCGACCACACAGATCCTTCAGCAAAGAGCAGCAAGGCAAACCCCAGTGCTGTACATGCACACGCGCATCCTGCTTAGTATGTTCAAGGCTCTCCAGAGGTTATTAGGGATTTTATTTTCTCCTCCTCTCCCGGCCTTGCATGCTCATTACCATCAATTATCTATGCATTTGCCCTGATGAATTATTGAGTGTGTAACGGGGCGAGGGAAGACCTGCCATCCCAGCTCAGTCACCTTGCAAACAAATGCTCCCCAGAGCATGATGGCCGCTAGTTTGCCCTCTGGCTTCTGATTTAGGATGGGAGCATGGAAGGCTAATCCAGCAACTTGCAAAACCCTTTTACTCCATCTGTCCCCCTTCCTCATCATTGCTGTTGAGGTATGGGTGTTGTTGCCCTGGTACGAAGCAGAACAATGGGTGAGTTATTTTGCTGACGAGAGGCTTCGAGGAGCACAACAGAAAGAGTTTACCCTCTCTTGCAAAAGAGCCATGAGTTATTCAGTCACCTGGAAAGGAAACATGATTTCCGCACAGTGTTTGGGGTTTTTGGGGGGTATTTTTTGTTTGATTTGTTTTGTTATTTCTTCTGCTGTTTTTTTTTTTCTCTCTCATTTCCCCCTGAAGCCTTTAGAAAGTTTGGAATGTGTTTTTGTTAAAGCTACTACATGTAGGAGCCTGAATCCCAGCTTTGGCAGCATGTTGTTCCTGGCAAGCAGTCCTGAACTGGCACCAGCTTTTTCCCTAGCCAAAAGTCTGCTACACCTGGGCAGAGGGTTCTGCAAGGACCATTCTGGGGTCTGGTTCAAGGTCAGGTTTGTCAGCACCAAAGTCTGCTTTATCTCCAGTTTGTGTCCAGGTAGTCTGCACTGATGCATGGACCCCATGGCAGTGGTAGGGTAGAAGGGGAGAGTAGGACTGGGAATTGTTTCCACCACTCAAGGTCAAAAAAAATCACTTGATTTTTAAAAGGATCATTCATTAATTTGCAGGGAAATCATAGCGTGAAGAAAAGACATAGTAATGATGGAGTGAGGGATTGGATTGATCTCTCTCTTGTGATGTATATTGCATTCTCTTCCAGGTTGGCTGACACTGTCTGTGTTTAAGAGGCACGTCTTAGGTGCCCATTCTTGGGCAGCGGTAGCCTTCATCCTGGCATAGCCTTCTGCATGCATTGCTCATGCACACACTCTGCTAGGGAGAGACCAGGCTGCAGCCCTGCATGGGAACTGAGGAGGAGAAGAAGACGGTGGCTTTCCATCGTCTCTGGGGCTTAGCTCATCCCTCGCTTTGCTGGCAAGGGAGGAGGCGCCGGGCCATGACTTCCTGCTGTCGCGAACGGGGCCTCTTTTATTGGGATGTGGAAAGCTGGGTTCAAAGGGAAGCGCTGGGGCCTGTGGGGGGTCAGGCAGCTTGTGTGGGAGCACAGCCAGCTGCGCCATCGCCCCAGCTGCGGGCAGGTCCTGCCCCAGGGCATGGGCCCTTCATGAAAGAGGTGGGGACCGGTGCTGATGAATCCGCTCTGCTCCAGCCTTGGGAGAAAGAGGGAGTGCTGAGCACACCTACAGCCAGGCAGCCTGAGATGGGCGGCAGGTTGTTCCCAGGGCCTTTGCTACGTGATTGCTTTTGCTCTCCGGCAAGCTCCCACACGCTCTGCGAGGCTCTGAAGGCTTCCGAGCCAGACTGCTTGGCAAACGTGTTGCTCACCTCCACGGGTGTGGGCAATTCTGCAAGAGACTCTCTCACCTCTAGGGTAAAAGGAGCAGCAAATGCTGCAAAGCATGTTGGAGACATCTCCCCTCTCCCCATCCATCTTCCTCAGATCCCAGCATAGCGTTATCTACACCCGGTACCCTCATTCCATCAGGAAGGCTGTTGCGTGTTGGGGTCCCACAGGTCATAGGCTGGTCTGGTGTCGGAAAAGTCTTCATGCGTGCAGGCACATGAGGGCACCAGCGCTTTGCTGTGGCTGTAAGCAGCACTGAAAGACATTCCTCAGCACCCAGCTGCGATGCTAGGGTGTGGGGCAAACCAGCACTTGACTCAGGGAAGGGGGCAAGTTCACACAAAGCTCTAGAGACTGAGTTTCGGTCTGAAGTGCTGATGACTGTGGTCAGCTGATGGCGTTTTATGGCCGGGCTGGATTGTTGAGGCTTGTCCTCAGGGTCACAGGCTTGGCATGATGGGAAGGAGAAGGGGAGAAAGAAGAGGCTTAGACAAGATGTGGGGACTGGATGGGGCAGAGTACTACAGTGAGAGGACAACATGGGAGCGTGACGAGAGAAGGGTAGAGGTGATGCCTGTGGGTGAGACTTCTGTATGCCTGCACTTGTGTGCATGTGAAACTGCAGGAGGGAGACCTTGCACATCACAGGGTACATCCGCCAGGAGTCTGTGGAGGTTAAGACTGAGGAGTTCATTTTGGCCTTACATGAGGAACCTGTTTGTCGCCTGGAAGAATAGGGTAGAGGTGACATTTTTGAAATGCTCTGTCCCCTGTTAGGAGATGCTGTCCTGTTTCTCTTGCCGTGCATTTTTTCTTTGCCCAGATTTTGTCTCTTTCGTTACCCTTTCATGTTCCTCACTCTTTGTACATCTTTCTTTTTTTATTACCCCTTTCTTTTCCTTTACTCTCAGTCTCCCAGAATACATCCAATTTCAGATTCTGCCAGAAGCAATGAGCAAAACCCGCTTTTCTTGTTCTTACCACCTTGCTTCTGTATTGCTTTTATCATATAAATACTGGCTGTATAATTACCAGAGCATTATCTCTAAACATACAGATTAGG